CCTAGGGGACGGGGCTTCTCTCGGCTCCGATAATTGACATACCTGTCAATCTATCAGTCAGTCACCTGCTGCGCGATGTAAGCCGTCTATGGACCCGTTGTGCACGGGTTTCCTTCGGGTTGAAACGCAGGCAAGACGGCTCCTGCTCTCTCGCTCCTCTCGGCTCCTCCCCACACGCCTTCATTCACGTTTTCCACTCATCATGTCGAAGAACATCTTCTCAGCACAAACACCTCCCTCTAAACGCAAACAAGTAAGGGGCTCCATTTCGGCGCTCTCGGCCGCTCACAGAGCCGCATTCCCGTCTCTCCGGGATCTCCGAGGTCTTTCGGGCGATTCCTCTACAATTGTATGAGTATGTCTTCTCGGTCTGCGTCTGCCTCGTTGGCGTCTGGCTCGGTCGCATACCGGTCGCCACGTTCCTTTGCTCCCCATCCACGACGCGTCGAGTTATGTGCCAGTCTCCCTCTCTCTCTCATTCTCTCTCTGCTTTCACACACCACCAGTCTGTCTCTCGGTGCTCTAATGTCGCGTTGTCGGTACGTTGCACATTTATGTAAACATTCCGCTTTGTTGCCATTCCTCCCCCGCTCTCCCTTCATCTGTGTCTTCTCACTCTGCGTCGCTCGCTCGCGGGACCTTTCGCCCTTTTCCTCTGCTCTCGATACATTCTCATTGCATGCCAGTCAGTCTCTCTCCTCCCTTTCATACACCAGCCTGTGTCTCAGCTCTCACATGTCGTGTGCATACTCTTCATTTATGTCCATCTCTCATCTTATCCAGGATCTTCGGAGCTTTCTGATATCTTCCGTCCATCGTTCCGCATCGGTTCTCACATACCAATACTTCACTGGTGGTTCTGTCTCGCCTGCTCGTGAAAATCGGACGAATAGGTCAGCGGACGCCCCAATCGATCTCGCGCAGTTCATGATTCAGACCACTCTCGGCGGGCCCGCTCATTCATCTTCCATCTCGAGCGTCACTACAACAGAGCGACATACTGCCAGCGCATATTTTTCATTTTTGCACATGATGAGCGGCACTTCTTCTGGCTCTCCGCACTCTCCGCACTCTCCGCAGTCTCCCTTGCCGCTTCTAGCTGCTGATGACACCAGCATACAGCTCCAACGATTTGGTCGGTATGTGTTGCTCGGCTTTTTTTCTCTCGCGGGGGCCACTCATCCCAGTTGTGTGGCTCAAGTAATTCGTTTGACACACCAGCCCATATATATGTGGCCGAGCAATAATATTTCAACTCCGCACTCCGCACGTACGTTGTATGTACATTTGAACTCTGTGTGCCGCGCTACAGCTTGCTGCTGTGTAACGTACGGATATCTGTTCAGTTTACACAGGATGAACCATGCGAAAGCCGCCAGCACTACCACTCTCCGTTCATCTTGTATTCATATTATAGTTAATTTGCTGTGTGTGGTAAATGGCACGAATCGATTACGCCTTGTTTCTTCTGCACCGATCCATTTTTATTCAATTTTTCAAGATTTTTTTCTGCCACGAATGTTGAGTACCACTGATCGCGTATGTTGGAATCGATCTATTGAGCGGGGCGGCGAAAGCCGCCAAACCACCTTGTATAACTATGAACTTCCCAACACCCGGCGTGAAGGGCTACAGAGGTCTGCTTCTTCCACGCTTGCCACTAGACCAGCATTTGCAAATGATCAATAATGATACTCCGAGTAAGTCAGAACGCCTGTACAGCCCAAAAGGGTAAAATAAGAGAAAAAGCACGCCCTACGTATGAGTCCGGTCCCGATTTTTCGAATGCGCATCGGGAGTATCATGCGCGAAGACACCTAAACTCTACTTCTCAGTAATCACGACCAGCCAAAAGAATCATGCACCCACAGGTGGACGCAAATAGCCATCCTCTAGGATGCTTTACGGACCGAAAACACCCCGTGCAAAAAGCAGAAAAATGTGCTCATTCTGGAACTCGTAAACACTTATCCCTGCGCCTTTCAGTCGGCGGTTGCAGCAGTAGCCCCTCCATGAGTGCGAATCAGGCCATTTTTGGTCGGCGTATCACCGGGGTCTAGTGCATTGTATAGAACTGGCCCACGTTTACGACGGGCGGCACGCACCATTCGCTACTCGCGGTAACTGCTGTTGTATCTTTGGGGCGAGGGATTAATTCATTATTTCAGTGTATGCAACTCACCTACTATTGATGTGTACACCATTTTTTCGTTCTGACCATCGATCGACTCAGCGTCTCCATGTTCTGCCTTGTCTAAAAGCCAGTATAATCAATATGCAAACGATGGAACCATGTAGCACCATGCTTGTATTTGCACACATATTTCAGGAATTTCCCGGCTCGGTTACCGACCTCCAAACCGAAACACGTACCGCGTAGGCGCCCTCGATGAAAGCCACAACAGAGATATTCAGTTAAGAGGGTGTCTGATGAGAAAGTAGCATATGAAAAGCGACAAAATAGCTGTCAACCACAACATGTGAGGGCAGATATGTACATATAAGATTTGGTCCCTTTTCATGCTTCGGCGCGTATCTTTCTCTCGCGGCAGCGAATCTTTTATCGCAGTTCCTTCTTAGGGGCACGCAGGAGGCTCGTCGGTACATTAACGCCCGTGCCCGGAGCTCGGTAGAGGCCTCCGTGGCGCGTGTGGTTGACGGCCAAAGTTGCGAAAACTGGCTCAAAACCCCGCGGACGCGTTCCGCGCTGACAAATCCTGGCGAACCAATTCTGAAACCTATCAAACCTATCAAATACGACGGTTTGAAATATTTGCCTCTTCTTGCTTCATTCTCCACTTTCATTCGTTCATTCATTCATTCAGTCGATGATTCATGGCTGTGACTCTTCGTGTCATCGCATTGTCCAACAGCAGTACCTACGTTTACTACACTTCACAGCGGGCCAAGTGTAGACAAGTCTGAGAGCATGCATCCAGCCGCAGTGTTGAACATGTCCCTTTTGTGGTGTTGCTTCGGCTTCAAATTCGGTGCTCATCGGAATCTGCCATCATCAATCAAAGACATCATGGAAGTCTGAGTTTTCGCTGCCAAAATATTGTCCGCTCGAGCTGGTCCCAATGTAGAACAACAACGTGCGCGATGTTTTGTGCGGAAATCCAAGCGTTGTAATACACACAGTCCCTCTTCGGGCAATTCGCGTGTTGGTCTTGCGTCACGTGAGGGAGGGTAGACACCCACGTCCCGAAGGGAGACCTTGTAAAACGATAAAACATGCCCCTTTTACTGGCCGTGCGGTAGGGGTACAGCTGGTAGAGGTATACGGCCTCACTGCTGTGCGTCATGGTGTGCGAGATTTTCCTGGCATCATCCGCGGACCCGCAGAGCCCGCTACCACTGTGATTGAACACAAGTCCCTGTATGATTTGTATTCGCTTCTTTTTTTTATTGTTATGTATCCAGTGGCCGGGGCATAAAAACGGTTTAACTCTATTGCCTACCCTTAACTGAACCCCAATTCCAAATCCACACGTGACAGCTAGGTTCGTGTTTATGGGATAAACCCCAGATCCGTGGGAAGGATTTTAGGATAGTCCTTGTGCAGATTTGTTTAGGCGGGGCCAACCAACTCGGGCGCGGGCACGCGCCGGACTAAATAGTGCATCTCTTCGTTGCGCACCCGTGTGTGCATTGAAGTTTTTTTTAACAACCTGTGCTCAAAGGTGGCTTCGAAACAAAAAATCGAGCCTCGACCCAAAAACATTGCGTGTCTTCCCTGCCGGCTCCACCTGACTGTCCGCCAGTGCTTGTAGCCTCCGTTGCTTCTTATGCACGGGCGGAAGGTCATTGTATCAGAAAACGGAAGAGCACAGGAAAACGCCAAGGAGCGTGTTGGGTAGGCAGGGTATACACCCAAGCGCACACACCTCGTGTACCCAATACCGGGGATTAGCATACTATCGCCCGGATAAACGTAGAGTTTTGGTAAAATGTACGGTCACGTTTGAGTAATACCTCCAAAACAGCCCGGATAAGGTATGCTTTCAGTGACATTGGCGGTCCCGGAAAACGAAACGATTTGGGTAACACGTTCAAAAATCTACCCTGGAAGAAGTACAGTTGGGTAACATGCTCCAATCGACCCCGGTACGGGTGTATACCCTAGCGAACATGTCCTTCCGTGCTTCCACAACTGATGATCATGATGATTTAAATACAACAGCAAGTGTGTGACGATTTTACGAGTTTCACACCGAGCTGAGGAGAAATAGAAGAATTGAAGGGTGTCTGGATGGTCCATGAAGACAACGAAGACTTGTACCTATCTGTGTGACAGTATCAACGGGTGACCTCACGCCGATGACGACTTATCATCATGCAGGCGCAACTTTTTTTGGGACCGTAACGTGTACCGGAATTGAAATTTCGCAAAATTGTTTGTCCGTGTTTTTTATCTGCGGCAGTTGACTCCCTGTTTATTTCGGTACTTGTCGAAAGGTGCACTTTTACGTCTGTATTGTCAGAGCAGCAGTGGTTGTTGCCGACTCGGTGCTGAGACAGGAACTCCCCTCCCCGGGACGTTGTTTTCTTCAACTACCCCCTCACCCTTGCTAGAGGTGGCCTGGGCGGCCACGTACGACCCCGGCTATGTAGCTTTAAGCAGGTTGCCTTATGTTCGACGATTTTTCTGGCGGAGTCTGAAAAAAACAAGAAGAAAAATGCGCGCTCTCTGTCTCTCTTCCTCATAGAACCTGCCCTGAGCATTTCGACAACCACGACGACGATTTGGCGCAGACGCTTGCAGTAGGTGTGCCCAGAGTAGCAGAGTGGGTGCATTTAGTGGAGATTAAATGATTTCGTATGTGTGTATTTGATCAGCCGGGGACACTCACGGCAGCAGTTAGCAGCAGCAAGGAGAGTGCAGAATGTTGGAGTATGTTGGGTTGTTCGTCTGCATGCCCCATTCATGATCCGCGAATGTGTGCAGGGTAGACTCGTGCGCCACCAAAAACGTGTGTGCATGCGCTGCACGTTTTCCGATGACGATTCAGTTACTGACGTCGGTTTCTCCACGCTCCTTCCTGCTCTCTTGTTCTGTCCACCTCTCTCCTCCTCTCTTCTTCCTGTTTGTCCTCCTCTCGTCTAAACATTGGCAGGTTTTGGTGTTCGAGGGGCTCCTGCCGTCATACTACAACCACAAGAAATTCCTCTCCTTCGTACGCCAGCTCAACTTCTACGGTGAGTACCCGCGCGCTATCGGCCTGCTATTCTTGCGTGTGAATTCTCTGGTAGAGGATATCTGGTACAGGATGATGTTTTTGTCGCGGTGTTGTTGTGCGTGACATTTCGTACAGTATATTCGCAACGTCGATACCGAACATGTGTGCAGTACAGTACGAGGTAGCAGTAGCAGTGGTAGTAGTTGGCGCTTCCCAGGCAAAAACTTGGCTTGGACTGGTGTCTGGGTGCGGTGCCGGTTGTTTCGTGAGTCTACTCCCTGATTTCGGCCGAAAACCTACGTAAATAAAGGCAGACTCCAATGCGGCACCCGCGGCGAGTATGGGTCCCCTCGAGCAAGAACGCTCCACGAGGCTGTGGCAGCAAAGTTGAAATCGGCCCACAGTACTGTCTAGGCAGGCACTAAACCTCTACTTCTCTGCTTTCGTGGCTGTTTTCTTCACCTAGGCTTCAAGAAGGTCAAGGGAGGAGCGTCGACACGCTCGAGGTCTTCTGCGGCCGATTCACAGGGCGAGGCGGGCGCGGGGTCGACCGGGGCGAGAGAATCGGATTCCTGGGAGGAGTTCAGGCACCCGCAGTTTCGCCGGGGCCGGAGGGATCTCCTCGTGGGCATAAAACGGCAGAAGGACGGCGGTCGCTTGAAGCGCAAACGAGGTACTTCCCAGCGAGCGTGCCATCTTCACTACCGTAGGTTGCGTAAGATATCACACCCCTTGGACCGATTTTCAGAGCTCGATTAGTCGGCAGGAAAGGCAGTGGCGTTGCCGAAAATGGTGGCGTTACAGTAGAACCATTTCGTCGAGAGCTTTCCGAAAACGCACCAGTTGATTTCGGCATCCTCTTCGTCGTGGAGTGATGAGGCTTTGAAAATGAGTCCGGGGCGTGTTGTACCTTAACGCAACCCACGTTATGCATATGTGCGGGGACGAACATTTAATGCGGAATCGCCTCAATTGCGTGGTCACCTCTGGGGCGAGGCCTCACTTCGTTTGACTTCCTGTGTGAAGTTCTCAAGTGTGTTATCGGGAGAGGTTATACCTGTCCCCTCCTTAGTAAACACCGCGATGCAGAGTTTGGGTGGTCGGTGATTAAATCGGTTGCCCATGGGGGGACAACACGGTGGTTGCAAGCAATCACCGCTACACTATGGGTTAAATGACCTCAACGGCCAATGGCTTTACCTCGCTAAAGAACCGAACTCACGCGCTGTTGCCCTGGCCTATAATTATCGTTCGAGCCGAGCATTCCCCCCACTTCCCCAGTTTGCCCCCGGGTTTTCCTTTCGACAGAAAGCACCCCTTTCCCCCCTTCTCTTCAGTTACCCTCTGTGTTGCAAACGGGAGCTACTGACCTAAAAGACGACGAAGTTGAGCGCAGCGAATGATGATGTGTCGAAACGCACGTCGGGGAATCGCCCAACAGGAGCTGGTCGCCCCGGTGGTCTAGTGGCATCCTCGTAAACCGCTAGTCGCAGAGGTCGTGAGTTCGAACCCCATGGGGTGAAAAATTTACAAATTTGCGGGTGAAAGCGAAATATAGCTAAAAAGCTCTCGTGAGTACCAAACTTCGACGTTAGCACCGTTGACGAGGGAAAGGGACGGCTGGACCCTATCGTGATAAATATAAAATTTAGCACGCACCGCAGGAGGAAGGTGGGGCATGAAAATAAATAAAAAGAAGAAAAAAGCCCTGGTGATACCCCCTACTGGGTGACCCTGGATGTTTGTAGTTGTACGAAAAAAAACACTGAAAAGTGTAGCACTCTACATATGCTGAACAGTGTAGTACACGTCTCACCACGAAAAATGGGGAGACTGTCGCCATAATAAATAGAACGAAAACACAACACAACATGGTAACAATTTGATTTTCAAATCTTGTGTCGCGGCCGGCCTCCCTGCTTGCTCGTTGTCATGGCATGCACCCGACCCCGACCCCTGGTCGTTCCGACAACTGAACGGGTTTGTTCGTTCCCAGGCACATTGTGAATATACCTCTCAAGCAAGTCCCTCCCCATAACTGTGCACTGCTATTCTCGTGTTTGCAACCTTCTCCAGCCGATTCGCAAAAGTCAGACATTCTGACCACACTAAGGGCGGACGTGGACACGTTGATCGAGGACTTGCGAGAAGCGAACGGCAAGCTCGACACCATTGTATCGATGCTGATGGGGACAACCAGCGGCAACCACCCCCAGCAGGGAGGTGGACCGGTTCAAAACAATCTCCTGATGCACCTTCAGAATGGCGGTAACCCCGGTGGTGGTGGTGGTGGCGGTGGCCGCGTTTTCAACTACGGTGGCGGTGGCGGTGGCGGTGGTACCAGTGGCAACCCGGCTTCCTTTCTGCCCGTGGCTACCCCTGGCCCCGCCACTCACGGTGGTGGTGGTAGCGGCGGTGGATTTGGGCAGTGGGGAGGGGGTGGAGGCGTCGGAGGTGGCAGCATGGGTCCAGTTGGCCAAGACCCATACATGTATGGAGCACCAATCGGCAATTACATGGCTCCGCGTTTCTCTGCTGATCAGCAGCAACAGCAACACCCGCAGCAATATCAGCAGCAGCAGCAACAACAACAACAGCAGCAGCAGCAGCAACAGCAACAACAACACCAGCAGCAGCAGCAGCAGCAACAGCAACAGCAACAGCAACAACAGTGGCAGGGCCACCAGCTTTACTCGCAACCGTGCCAGCAGCCCCCCCTCGCAGAACAATATCCTGCTGCGCCCAACCAGGTGAGCATGTGAGTGCAATTGCTTCTGATCCACCCGTGTTTAATAACTATGGCACCTATGCAAGACGTTGTTTCTTTGAGAAGTTGTTGGCAACCAAATTACTGAGTTTGGGCAATGTCCACAGTTGGCACCAACAAGTGTGCTTTTGGGACCCCCAATTCTGATCAAAAGAAGTGTTCGTAAACCGCAGCGACTTGATATGTACATTGATAACCACCAAGTTGAGTGCTCAGGAATGTTCTCCCCAACAAGGCTATCCTAACGCTTGTTCCACGACGACATGCTACGCACGTTGTATCTTCTACATGCTCTTGTACCCAGATCCGATACCAGATGGCACAACAGCCAGCACAGCCGCCCGTAGGCCCTACAGCTGCAGCTGCAGCAGCTACAGTACCAGCAGTTGCAACACACACTTCAGATGTTACTCCCCCCACTGGGTCCTCGCGACAGCAGCTTCCACCGCGAGTCTCTAAGAATTCATCCAAGGTCCGCCCCCCGAACAGAGGGAACGGGAGCGGTGGCGGAGGCGTTGGCGGTGGCGCCATCGGTGATGCTCCTCCTCCTCCCCCTCCTCCTGGTACCGCCGTTCCGCGCGATCTGCAGCAAGAGCAGCAGCAACTCTCGTGGGTATACCCCCCGCCGCCCATGGCGAACGCTAGCAGCGCGTCGACGGCTGCCAATACTCTCTCCGGGCGGGCGGGGGGAGGTGGGGGTGCGGTGGTTACAAGCCAGCCCCAGGAGCTTTCGCGTGGACCCATGTCTGGGCTCCAAGTGCTGTCGCAGTCCGCTGTGAGCGCTGTCGAAACGGACAGGGGTAGGCACAGCAACACTAATTCTTCACCCGGGTGCGACTAGAAGATCCGGCGTGCAAGAACAGCAACCACGAAACTACATGAATACAAAACACGTAGCGACACATAGACAGGTGTATTAAGAGAGGCAACATATTGCGATTCTAGTGTCCCCTCTGCATGCCTTTGCGTGCGCCTGTCACGCTCGATTGCTAGTTCATTTAATCATTTTTGATATTTTTTGGATATTATAACTTCCATCGCATGGGGTAGCTCATGTTGGACGGCAGATTGTTTTGCGATTTTGTATCACATCTATCTGTAGAGATTTTAGACGGTCCCAGAGTGTTGTTGGCAAAGCACGATGAGGACTTCTTCTGTGGTTTGTAGGGGTCTACAGTAGCTTCTTCTAGTTATTTTCGGGTACGTCCATGTCGGGTACATCGATAACGTTATCGTATGCAAAGCTGTGAGGTTTTTGAAGGGTTCCCCTAGTGACGGGGATTTTCGTCGCCAACACTCGAATGTCTGGCTCGCATTCCACTTTTGTATGACATACAACAGGGATACAGGAGCGCCTTGGCTCGCGGTGTACTTCGAAGACGAAGTACACCTATATGTAGGAGGCAGAGGGGGGTGGGAAGGGCAGGGGAAAGGTCAGTTTCCGCGCTCAGTCGCGTTACGCAGATGAGACCGTGACGGCGACAGGAGTAGTACTGTAGTCTAGTGCGCTCACCTCGCGATTACATAATACACAACTGAACGGAAAGATCTCCGATTCCTTGGAGTGCGTCTACGGCCAGGGCACACTCTGAAATCAGCGAGCTCCTTCTGTATACCATAATATGGTACATACGAATGAGCGTGCCGTTTTGGGAGCGATGAGCGTAGGATTGTAGGTCACCTGGCGAGATTGGTCATCCAGCCTCAGAATGAATCGTCGCACTACGTACGTGTTCCTCACGGAGAGTAGTTGCAAAACAAGAAGGGAAGAAAAAGGAGTCAGCTTTGCCATATCGTTTTAGGAGTATACCTACCACATATACATTTACAATCCCTGGCTCTCGGCAGTCAGGACAGTGATTGCCCTTGGATGAGCGTTGCGAGCGTTGGTTCTCACACGGTACAAAAGCACGAAGTAACACCTTTCGGAGGGCAATGAATGGATGAGCCTTGCGAGCGTTGGTTCTCACACGGTACAATAGCACGAAGTAACACCTTTCGGAGGGCAATGAAACCCCCGTCGGCAAGAAGAGTGAGAGATGCATTGAATTGGTGGAAGAGGTTGGTTGTGGTGTCCACGTGATTCCTTGGATGGGGTACACTAATGTGATCCCCATCTGTTCGCGGGTCTAAGCGGCAGTTGATCTCGATGTGTGCAGACGCACACCAGGACGAAACGTAGGGCATGCTTGTGTCCAAGCTGCTCGTCCGGGAGAACAAATGGTTGTCGAGATTGACTCTGACCGAGTGTAGCAGGGGCCGACTCTGACCGGGTGAGCGGTCTCGTGCTGCCAGAACTATTTACTCTGGCAAACTGCAACAGTTAATATATCATGTAAAGTGTGTGTCTGCTACCTAAACTTGCATTTTCTTTTGTTGGGGGGAGACAAAGGACCATTGAGAGTATTGAACTTAGCTGTCGAGAATGTCCCTCTGGCTATGATTATGTTGTGAATGTGCGTGCACACAACGGTGTGGCGGCCACTGGCAAGATCGATAACAACAGAGATAATGCCCCCCCCTCAAGATACGCGTTACACGTCCATGGTGAATGTATGTGCCTTTGATCAGAGCGTGCACACTCACCCGTTCGTTCGTGTGTTTGTGGAGGGTATCGGAATCCAAGCATCGCCGCGTGAAGAGCCAGGGGTAGCAGAAAAACAAGGAGATACATGTACCCAATGAAAAGCGCGCCCCATCTAGCTTGCGTACTCCAGGGGTCGAGATTTTTTGCCCAAACGCCTAAGCTGTCTAAAACAGCCTACCAGGTAAGTATGAAACAGGCAAATAAAAGGGTCTGTGTGGTCAGTTGACGAGGCTTCGCCGGCGGGGCACGTAAGGTCCTAATGGCTTTTTTTCTCAGCCGCATCACGCGCCAAGTAACTTTTCTCTTCGAAAGGCCTTCCACGGAAGGTGGTGTGGCGCTTTGGTACGTTGCGACCAGCTTCGACGCCGTTGTGTTTTAGGTGCGCGAGTTGAGGGCAACAGGCAATTTTCGGTAGAGGGTAGCCCCTTGTTTTCCCGCGGGCAAAGTACTGTTTCTGGAGAGAATGTGCGCAGCGAGGGGGAGACGGAATGACTATGGTCGAGAGACACTGGGAGTTTCGTTTGTAGCACCACATTGGTTTTAGTCTGTTTCGTAACGATTCATGGTGTGTTGTGCCGTGATGCCATTTTAGTGCAAGTACTATTGTCTGCAAATTGAAAACGTGTTTACCCGACAGGGGACGCCTCCCGTGTATGTGTTGTGGCCACGTGATCTCGCGCACAGAGGCAACATCACACCAGCCGTGATAGCCAAATGTCTCGTATTCTTTGTGACAACGACCTCAAATGACAACCGGGTTGGCCATTCCTCATCGGAACTGGGATCGATGACGTTTGGCTGGTTCGCAATATGCTCTTCATCATAAGTCTCGTTGTCCTTATGCATGTGTTTTCGGAACTCTTCACGATCTATGCTTCCCATCACTTTGGGTCTGAACCACTGTCCGAAGCACTCACTTCAAACAGCGGGAAGCTCGTGTGGTGGGGGCACCGCGCAAATATTGAACTAGTTCGCTCAGTGTCGTGCCATTGCTGCTCTGTGTTTTTTATCATAAGCAGACATTTGTTTTTCGTATTCTCTCTCTGCCC